TGTGCTCTTCCGATCTATCAAAGGACCCAAAGGAGATGGTGATAGCAGTGGTAGTGACACATCAGATGGTCATGGTGGAAGAATCAAACGAAAGTTAAAAATGCCTTCTGGTGGTTTTGGAATCTCTGGTGGTATGAAAGGTCCCAAAGGAGATGGTGATAGCAGTGGTAGTGACACATCAGATGGCCATGGTGGAAGAATCAAACGCAAATTAAAAATGCCTTCTGGTGGTTTTGGAATCTCTGGTGGTATCAAAGGACCCAAAGGAGATGGTGATAGCAGTGGTAGTGACACGTCAGATGGTCATGGTGGAAGAATAAAACGCAAAATAAAAATGCCTTCTGGTGGTATTGGAATCTCGGGTGGTATCAAAGGACGAAAGGGAGATAGTGATAGCAGTGACAGTTCTACGTCTGATGGTGAAGGTGGAAGGATCAAGAGGAAATTGAAACTTCCGTCTGTTGGAATTCAAGGTGGTGCTGGTGGTAAAATAGATGGTGATTTCAAACATTCAAAATCGAAAGGTGACAGCAGTGACAGTTCTGATGATGAAGGACACAAGAAAAAGGGCAAATTCCACATTGGTCTACCGAAGTTTGGGTTTGGAAGTAAAAAGTCTAAGGGAAAGAAGAAATCCAAAAAAGGAAAAGACAGTGATAGTAGTGGAAGTGAGACATCTGATGGCGAAGGAGGAAGAATAAAAAGAAAACTGAAAGTCCCCAAAGTTGGCCTTGATGCAGGAATCTCGGGAAAAGGTGGCAAAGACAGTGATAGTGGTAGTGACACATCTGATGGTCATGGTGGAAGAATCAAACGAAAGTTTAAAATGCCTTCTGGTGGTTTTGGCATCTCGGGTGGTATCAAAGGACCCAAGAGAGATGGTGATAGCAGTGGTAGTGAAACATCTGATGGTAATGGCGGGAGAATAAAACGAAAGTTAAAAATGCCTTCAGGAGGAATTGGAATCTCTGGTGGTATCAAAGGTCCTAAAGGTGATGACAGTGACAGTGACACATCCGATGGTAACGGTGGGAGAATAAAACGAAAGCTCAAACTCAAAGGTCCTAAATTTGGCATTGGTTTTGATGGTGGTGCTGATGGGAAAATTAAAGGATCTAAATCAGGCAGTGATAGTAGTGACAGTTCTACCTCTGATGGTGAAGGTGGAAGGATCAAGAGGAAATTGAAACTTCCATCTGTTGGAATTGAAGGTGGTGCTGGTGGGAAAATAGAAGGTGATTTCAAACATTCAAAATCGAAAGGTGACAGCAGTGACAGTTCTGATGATGAAGGACACAAGAAAAGAGGCAAATTCCACATTGGTCTGCCGAAGTTTGGATTTGGAAGTAAAAAGTCTAAAGGAAAGAAGAAATCCAAAAAGGGAAAAGACAGTGATACCAGTGGAAGTGAGACATCTGATGGCGAAGGAGGAAGAATAAAAAGAAAACTGAAAGCCCCCAAAGTTGGCCTTGGCATTGATGCAGGAATTTCAGGAAAAGGTGGCAAAGACAGTGATAGTGACACATCTGACGGTCATGGTGGGAGAATCAAACGCAAGTTTAAAATGCCTTCTGGTGGTTTTGGAATCTCTGGTGGTATCAAAGGACCCAAAGGAGATGGTGATAGCAGTGGTAGTGACACTTCAGATGGCCATGGTGGAAGAATCAAACGCAAATTAAAAATGCCTTCTGGTGGTTTTGGAATCTCTGGTGGTATCAAAGGACCCAAGAGAGATGGTGATAGCAGTGGTAGTGAAACATCAGATGGTCATGGTGGCAGAATAAAACGAAAGTTAAAAATGCCTTCTGGTGGAATTGGAATCTCTGGAGGTATCAAAGGTCCTAAAGGTGATGACAGTGACAGTGACACATCCGATGGTAATGGTGGGAGAATAAAACGAAAGCTCAAACTCAAAGGTCCTAAATTTGGCATTGGTTTCGATGGTGGTGCTGATGGAAAAATTAAAGGATCTAAATCAGGCAGTGATAGTAGTGACAGTTCTACCTCTGATGGTGAAGGTGGAAGGATCAAGAGGAAATTGAAACTTCCATCTGTTGGAATTGAAGGTGGTGCTGGCGGGAAAATAGAAGGCGATTTCAAACATTCAAAATCGAAAGGTGACAGCAGTGACAGTTCTGACGATGAAGGACACAAGAAAAGGGGCAAATTCCATATTGGTCTGCCGAAGTTTGGATTTGGAAGTAAAAAATCTAAAGGAAAGAAGAAATCCAAAAAGGGAAAAGGTAGTGGCAGTGGTACATCGGATGATGAATCGAAAAAGGCAAAGGTTGAACTTCCATCAGTTGATATTCAAGGCGGCATTCAGAAGGTTGAAGTTGACACTCAACTGGAATCCCAACCACCTGGACATGGAGATATTTCTGGAGATATAGACATGCCAAAGCTAGGTGGTGACAGTGGTAGTGAGACATCCGATGGTCATGGTGGAAGAATAAAACGTAAACTCAAAATGCCTTCTGGTGGTTTTGGAATCTCTGGTGGTATCAAAGGACCCAAAGGTGATAGCAGTGGTAGTGACACATCAGATGGTCATGGTGGAAGAATCAAACGCAAATTAAAACTGCCTTCTGGTGGTTTCGGAATCTCTGGTGGAATCAAAGGACCCAAAGGAGATGGTGATAGCAGTGGTAGTGACACGTCAGATGGTCATGGTGGAAGAATCAAACGCAAGTTAAAAATGCCTTCTGGTGGTTTTGGAGTAGCTGGTGCTATCAAACGTCCAAAAGGTGGTGACAGCGACAGTGACACATCTGACGGTAATGGTGGAAGAATAAAGCGAAAGCTCAAACTTAAAGGTCCTAAATTTGGTATTGGTTTCGATGGTGGTGCTGGTGGGAAAATTAAAGGATCTAAATCAGGCAGTGACAGTGACACGTCAGATGGTCATGGTGGAAGAATCAAACGCAAGTTAAAAATGCCTTCTGGTGGTATTGGAATCTCGGGTGGTATCAAAGGACCAAAGGGAGACGGTGATAGCAGTGACAGTTCTACATCTGATGGTGAAGGTGGAAGGATCAAGAGAAAATTGAAACTTCCATCCGTAGGAATTAAAGGCAGCGCTGGCGGAAAAATAGAAGGTGATTTCAAACATTCAAAATCGAAAGGTGACAGCAGTGACAGTTCTGACGATGAAGGACACAAGAAAAAAGGCAAATTCCACATTGGTCTGCCGAAGTTTGGTTTTGGTGGTAAAAAGTCAAAAGGAAAGAAGTCCAAGAAAGGAAAGGACAGTGATACGAGTGGAAGTGAGACGTCTGATGGTGAAGGAGGAAGAATTAAACGAAAACTGAAAGCTCCTAAAATTGGCCTTGGTATTGATGCAGGGATTTCAGGAAAAGGTGACAGCGATAGCGACACATCTGACGGTAATGGTGGGAGAATAAAAAGAAAATTGAAACTACCTTCTGGTGGTATTGGAATATCTGGTGGTATCAAAGGACCCAAAGGTGATAGCAGTGGTAGTGACACATCAGATGGCCATGGTGGAAGAATCAAACGCAAATTAAAAATGCCTTCTGGTGGTTTTGGAATCTCTGGTGGTATCAAAGGACCCAAAGGAGATGGTGATAGCAGTGGTAGTGACACATCAGATGGTCATGGCGGAAGAATCAAACGCAGGTTAAAAATGCCTTCTGGTGGTATTGGTATCTCTGGTGGTATCAAAGGACCAAAAGGAGATGGTGATAGCAGTGGCAGTGAAACTTCTGATGGCAATGGTGGGAGAATAAAACGAAAACTAAAACTGAGAGGTCCTAAATTTGGTATTGGTTTTGGTGGTGGTGCCCATGGAAAAATGAAAGGATCTAAATCAGGCAGTGATAGTGACAGTGATACATCTGATGGTCAAGGAGGAAGAATCAAGAGAAAATTAAAGGGGCCAAAGATCGGGATTGGTGGTGGCATTTCTGCTGATATCAAGGGATCCAAACCGGATGACAGTGGTAGTTCTACTTCTGATGGTGAAGGGGGAAGGATCAAGAGAAAACTGAAACTTCCATCTGTTGGAATGGAAGGTGGTGCTGGTGGGAAAATAGATGGTGACAGTTCCGATAAAGGACACAAGAAAAAGGGCAAATTCCACATTGGCCTCCCGAAGTTTGGGTTTGGAAGTAAAAAGTCTAAAGGAAAAAGGAAATCCAAAAAAGGAAAAGACAGTGATACCAGTGGAAGTGAAACCTCTGATGGTGAAGGAGGAAGAATTAAAAGAAAACTGAAAGCCCCCAAAGTTGGCCTTGGCATTGATGCAGGAATTTCAGGAAAAGGTGGCAAAGACAGTGATAGTGGTAGTGACACATCTGATGGTCATGGTGGAAGAATCAAACGAAAGTTAAAAATGCCTTCCGGCGGTTTTGGTATCTCGGGTGGTATCAAAGGACCCAAGAGAGATGGTGATAGCAGTGGTAGTGAAACATCTGACGGTCATGGTGGCAGAATAAAGAGAAAGCTGAAACTTCCATCTGGAGGCGCGAGTGTTGATGCAGCTGTGGACGTTGATCGCAAGGGCAAAGGAGACATTTCTGATGATGAGCACAAAAAGAAATTCAAACTTCCAAAGATTAAATTTGGCAGCCTACGAAAATCTAAGTCGAAGAAAAAAGATTCTAGTTCTGATGCTGAACACAACATCGATATACCATCTGTTGATGTAGAAGCTGGAATCCCGAAAGCCGATGTTGACGTTCAATTACAATCGCAACCACCAACACTAGACGATAGCGGCAGTGATACGTCAGATGGTCATGGTGGAAGAATCAAACGCAAATTAAAAATGCCTTCTGGTGGTTTTGGAATCTCAGGTGGTATCAAAGGACCAAAAGGAGATGGTGATAGCAGTGGTAGTGACACATCAGATGGTCACGGTGGAAGAATCAAACGCAAATTAAAAATGCCTTCTGGTGGTTTTGGAATCTCAGGTGGTATCAAGGGACCAAAAGGAGATGGTGATAGCAGTGGCAGTGACACATCAGATGGCCATGGTGGAAGAATCAAACGCAAGTTAAAAATGCCTTCTGGTGGTGGTTTTGGAATCTCTGGTGGTATCAAGGGACCAAAAGGAGATGGTGATAGCAGTGGTAGTGACACGTCAGATGGTCATGGTGGAAGAATAAAACGCAAGTTAAAAATGCCTTCTGGTGGTTTTGGAATCTCTGGTGGTATCAAGGGACCAAAAGGAGATGGTGATAGCAGTGGTAGTGACACTTCAGATGGTCATGGTGGAAGAATAAAACGCAAGTTAAAAATGCCTTCTGGTGGTTTTGGAATCTCTGGTGGTATCAAGGGACCAAAAGGAGATGGTGATAGCAGTGGTAGTGACACTTCAGATGGTCATGGTGGAAGAATAAAACGCAAGTTAAAAATGCCTTCTGGTGGTTTTGGAATCTCTGGTGGTATCAAGGGACCAAAAGGAGATGGTGATAGCAGTGGTAGTGACACTTCAGATGGTCATGGTGGAAGAATAAAACGCAAGTTAAAAATGCCTTCTGGTGGTTTTGGAATCTCTGGTGGTATCAAGGGACCAAAAGGAGATGGTGATAGCAGTGGTAGTGACACTTCAGATGGTCATGGTGGAAGAATAAAACGCAAGTTAAAAATGCCTTCTGGTGGTTTTGGAATCTCTGGTGGTATCAAGGGACCAAAAGGAGATGGTGATAGCAGTGGTAGTGACACTTCAGATGGTCATGGTGGAAGAATAAAACGCAAGTTAAAAATGCCTTCTGGTGGTTTTGGAATCTCTGGTGGTATTAAAGGGCCAAAGGGAGATGGTGATAGCAGCGGTAGTGACACGTCAGACGGTCATGGTGGAAGAATAAAGAGAAAACTCAAAGGACCAAAAGTTGAAATTGATGGAAAGGCCAAGGGTGACAAAGATGATGACCACAAACATGGATTCCACATGCCAAAGTTCCACATGCCTAAGTTTGGGTTTGGTGGTGGAAAGTCCAAAGACAAATCTAAGAAAGGAAAGAGTAAAGATATTGGATTGAAGGGAGATATTCAATTACCAGATGCTGAGATTGAAGGTGGAATCCAGAAAGTGACTGTTGATAGCGATCTCCAACATGAACCACCATCTATAAGCTACAGTGGCAGTGATACGTCAGACGGTGAAGGAGGAAGAATCAAGAGAAAATTGAAACTGCCTTCTGGTGGTATTGGTATCTCTGGTGGTATCAAAGGACCCAAAGGTGATAGCAGTGGTAGTGACACGTCAGATGGTCATGGTGGAAGAATCAAACGCAAGTTAAAAATGCCTTCTGGCGGTTTTGGAATATCTGGTGGAATCAAAGGACCCAAAGGAGATGGTGATAGCAGTGGTAGTGACACATCAGATGGTCATGGTGGAAGAATCAAACGCAAGCTAAAAATGCCTTCTGGTGGTTTTGGAATCTCTGGTGGTATCAAAGGACCCAAAGGAGATGGTGATAGCAGTGGTAGCGATACATCAGATGGTCATGGTGGAAGAATCAAACGCAAATTAAAAATGCCTTCTGGTGGCTTAGGCTTCTCTGGTGGTATCAAAGGACCAAAGAGAGATGGTGATAGCAGTGGTAGTGACACATCAGATGGTCATGGTGGAAGAATCAAACGCAAGCTAAAAATGCCTTCTGGTGGTTTTGGAATCTCTGGTGGTATCAAAGGACCCAAAGGAGATGGTGATAGCAGTGGTAGCGATACATCAGATGGTCATGGTGGAAGAATCAAACGCAAATTAAAAATGCCTTCTGGTGGCTTAGGCTTCTCTGGTGGTATCAAAGGACCAAAGAGAGATGGTGATAGCAGTGGTAGTGACACATCAGATGGTCATGGTGGAAGAATCAAACGCAAGCTAAAAATGCCTTCTGGTGGTTTTGGAATCTCTGGTGGTATCAAAGGACCCAAAGGAGATGGTGATAGCAGTGGTAGCGATACATCAGATGGTCATGGTGGAAGAATCAAACGCAAATTAAAAATGCCTTCTGGTGGCTTAGGCTTCTCTGGTGGTATCAAAGGACCAAAGAGAGATGGTGATAGCAGTGGTAGCGAGACATCAGATGGTCATGGTGGAAGAATAAAACGAAAATTAAAACTGCCTTCTGGTGGTATTGGAATCTCTGCTGGTATCAAAGGACCGAAGGGAGATGGTGATAGCAGTGGTAGTGAAACATCTGATGGAGAAGGTGGAAGAATCAAGAGAAAACTGAAAATTCCAGCCATGAGTGTTGACGGTAATGCAGAGGGAAAAGATGTGCAGAAGAAAAAGAAGTTCAAACTGCCCAAGTTCCGGCTGAGTGGAAAGAAAAAGAGCAAGAAGTCTAAAAAAGGAAAGGACAGTGATGATGAGGGTGGTATTAAAACAAACATTGAAATACCTTCTGTTGATGTTGATGTTAAAGCCTCAAAACCTGATGACAGCGGCAGTGAAACATCTGATGGTGAAGGAGGAAGAATAAAAAGAAAATTCAAAGTACCTAAAGTTGGTTTCGGCTTCTCGGGTGGTGCTAAAGGAGACAAAAGAGATAGTGACAGCGGCAGTGACACCTCTGATGGTCAAGGAGGAAGAATCAAACGCAAGTTAAAAATGCCTTCAGGTGGTTTTGGAATCTCTGGTGGTATCAAAGGACCCAAAGGAGATCGTGATAGCAGTGATAGTGACACGTCTGATGGTCAAGGAGGAAGAATCAAACGCAAGTTAAAAATGCCTTCTGGTGGTTTTGGAATTTCTGGTGGTATCAAAGGACCCAAACGAGATGGTGATAGCACTGGTAGTGACACGTCTGATGGTCATGGTGGAAGAATCAAACGAAAGTTAAAGATGCCTTCTGGTGGTTTTGGAATCTCTGGTGGTATTAAAGGACCAAAGGGAGATGGTGATAGCAGCGGTAGTGACACGTCAGATGGTCATGGTGGAAGAATAAAACGCAAGTTAAAAATGCCTTCTGGTGGTATTGGAATCTCGGGTGGTATCAAAGGACCAAAGGGAGACGGTGATAGCAGTGACAGTTCTACATCTGATGGTGAAGGTGGAAGGATCAAGAGAAAATTGAAACTTGCATCCGGAGGAATTAAAGGCGGCGCTGGCGGAAAAATAGAAGGTGATTTCAAACATTCAAAATCGAAAGGTGACAGCAGTGACAGTTCTGACGATGAAGGACACAAGAAAAAAGGCAAATTCCACATTGGTCTGCCGAAGTTTGGTTTTGGCAGTAAAAAGTCAAAAGGAAAGAAGTCCAAGAAAGGAAAGGACAGTGATACGAGTGGAAGTGAGACCTCTGATGGTGAAGGAGGAAGAATTAAACGAAAACTGAAAGCTCCTAAAGTTGGCCTTGGTATTGATGCAGGGATTTCTGGAAAAGGTGACAAAGACAGCGACAGCGACACGTCTGATGGTAATGGTGGGAGAATAAAACGAAAATTGAAACTGCCTTCTGGTGGTATTGGAATATCTGGTGGTATCAAAGGACCCAAAGGTGATAGCAGTGGTAGTGACACGTCTGATGGTCATGGTGGAAGAATCAAACGCAAGTTAAAAATGCCTTCTGGTGGTATTGGAATCTCTGGTGGTATCAAAGGACCAAAGAGAGATGGTGATAGCAGTGATAGTGACACGTCAGATGGTCATGGTGGAAGAATCAAACGCAAGTTAAAAATGCCTTCTGGTGGTATTGGAATCTCGGGTGGTATCAAAGGACCAAAGGGAGACGGTGATAGCAGTGACAGTTCTACATCTGATGGTGAAGGTGGAAGGATCAAGAGAAAATTGAAACTTCCATCCGTAGGAATTAAAGGCGGCGCTGGCGGGAAAATAGAAGGTGATTTCAAACATTCAAAATCGAAAGGTGACAGCAGTGACAGTTCTGACGATGAAGGACACAAGAAAAAAGGCAAATTCCACATTGGTCTGCCGAAGTTTGGTTTTGGCAGTAAAAAGTCAAAAGGAAAGAAGTCCAAGAAAGGAAAGGACAGTGATAGGAGTGGAAGTGAGACCTCTGATGGTGAAGGAGGAAGAATTAAACGAAAACTGAAAGCTCCTAAAGTTGGCCTTGGTATTGATGCAGGGATTTCTGGAAAAGGTGACAAAGACAGCGACAGCGACACGTCTGATGGTAATGGTGGGAGAATAAAACGAAAATTGAAACTGCCTTCTGGTGGTATTGGAATATCTGGTGGTATTAAAGGACCCAAAGGTGATAGCAGTGGTAGTGACACGTCTGATGGTCATGGTGGAAGAATCAAACGCAAGTTAAAAATGCCTTCTGGTGGTATTGGAATCTCTGGTGGTATCAAAGGACCAAAGGGAGATGGTGATGGCAGTGATAGTGACACGTCAGATGGTCATGGTGGAAGAATCAAACGCAAGTTAAAAATGCCTTCTGGTGGTATTGGTATTTCTGGTGGTATCAAAGGACGAAAGGGAGATGGTGATAGCAGCGGTAGTGAAACATCCGATGGTCAAGGTGGCAGAATTAAAAGAAAGTTGAAAATGCCAGGATTTGGTTTCTCTGGTGGGATTAAAGGTCCCAAAGGAGATGGTGATAGCAGTGGTAGTGACACGTCTGATGGTCATGGTGGAAGAATCAAACGAAAGTTAAAATTGCCTTCTGGTGGTATTGGAATCTCTGGAGGTATCAAAGGACCAAAAGCTGATGATAGTAGTGGTAGCGAGACATCAGATGGCGAAGGTGGCAGAATAAAAAGGAAACTGAAAATACCAGCTGTATCAGTTGAAGGTGATGTGAAAGGAAAAGACAAGAAAAAGAAATTCAAACTACCTAAATTCGGATTTGGCAGTAGTAAAAAGGATAAAAAGTCTAAAACAAAGATAGAAAGTGCTAGTGACACTTCTGATGATGATGACACTGAAATGAAAAAGAGGTTTGAAATACCAACATTAGACGTTGATGTCAAGGCATCCAAGCCCGATGACAGCGGCAGTGAAACATCGGATGGTCAGGGTGGAAGAATTAAAAGAAAACTAAAACTTCCAAAGGGTGATTTCGGTATCTCTGGTGGTGTCGAAGGACCTAAAGCTGATGACAGTGGCAGTGAAACATCTGATGGTCAAGGTGGTAGAATTAAAAGAAAGTTGAAAATGCCAGGATTTGGTTTCTCTGGTGGTGTTAAAGGAGACAAAGGATATAGTGATAGTGGCAGTGAAACCTCGGATGGTGAAGGAGGAAAAATTAAAAGAAAACTAAAATTGCCCAAAGCTGGATTCGGCATTTCTGGTGGTATCAAAGGATCAAAACCAGATGATGATAGTGGCAGTGACACATCCGATGGTCAAGGTGGAAGAATAAAACGTAAACTCAAAATGCCTTCTGGTGGCATTGGTATCTCTGGTGGCATCAAAGGTCCCAAAGGAGATGATGATAGCAGTGGTAGTGAAACATCCGATGGTGAAGGTGGGCGTATAAAGAGAAAGTTGAAAATCCCAGCTGTAGGAATCGAGGGAGACGTGAAACATGACGACAAGCAGAAGAAAAAGAAATTCAAACTTCCTAAATTCGGATTTGGTGGTAGTAAGAAGGACAAAAAGTCAAAAACATCGAAAGAAGGTGACTCCTCAAATGACGATGCTGAAATGAAAAAGAAGTTTGAAATACCAACTTTGGACGTTGATGTAAAAGCATCCAAACCCCACGACAGCAGTAGTGATACCTCGGACGGTGAAGGTGGAAGAATAAAACGAAAGCTGAAGAAACCTAAATTTGGAATTGGTTTTGGTGGTGTGTCGGGAGGAGTTTCTGGTGGTATCAAGGGAAGTAAAGGTGACGACAGCAGCAGTGATACCTCGGACGGTGAAGGTGGAAGAATAAAACGAAAGCTGAAGAAACCTAAATTTGGAATTGGTTTTGGTGGTGTGTCGGGAGGAGTTTCTGGTGGTATCAAGGGAAGTAAAGGTGACGACAGCAGCAGTGATACCTCGGACGGTGAAGGTGGAAGAATAAAACGAAAGCTGAAGAAACCTAAATTTGGAATTGGTTTTGGTGGTGTGTCGGGAGGAGTTTCTGGTGGTATCAAGGGAAGTAAAGGTGACGATAGCAGCAGTGATACCTCGGACGGTGAGGGAGGAAGAATAAAACGAAAATTGAAAATGCCTAAGTTTGGAATTGGAGGAGGCGTTTCTCAGAAAGCAGATATTCCAAGCACGGATACATCGGTGAAACTTGACTCTGGCGATATTGGCCTCCTTGTGTCTGATTTCGATAGTGCTAGCCCAAAGATTGATCAAGGCTTCTCAATATCAAAGCCGACGCCAATTTCTGTGGACGTACCCACATTACCAGAACGTGTAATCGAAGTTGAGTCAACGCCTGATGACGATCTTTTCTCAGCTCCTAGTGGATTTGGAAGTGCCGACATAGAATACACAACAGACAAAAAACCTGGCTTCATATCTGGTGGAAGTTCTGTTTCAAAACCATCTGGCGCAGTCGACGAAAGCGTCTCGCGTTCTGCCCGCGAATTACCTGACATAAAACGTGACTTCGATTTTGGTGTCATTGACTTTGGTGACATAGAAGCGGACGAGAACATTAGCGTGTCTACTGGGGGTGGTAATCTCTTCTCGGCTCCTCCCGGTGGATCGTTGTTTGCAAGCGCTGGCATAGAATACGAGACGGACGAAAAACCTGTTGAAATTTCAGTCCCAAAACCCACTGGTCCTGTCGTATCTGAAGAAGTCACACGTTCTGCCCGCGAAATACCAGACATAAACCGTGACGTCGATTTCGGAAAGATCGAGGTAGACGTTCCATCATCTGGCGAACATACAGTACCGACCAAGAGATACTCGGCAAGCTCTGCAGCTCGCTTACGAACGAGTTCAACTGACACAGATGACACCACACTGGACACAAGTATACAGGATATGGGTCCAGCCGATATCAAGCAGTTCATATTTAAAACACAACGTCAAGGTCGTCCTGGTCTTTCAACAAGCCTCTCTGGAGATGCAAGCACAACCAGTACGAGATCAACAGTCACGAAAGAAGCGGTGATGGTTCCTAAATTGGAAACACATGGTGCAACTTCGTATTCATCCTCATCAAGAGTCCAGACGTCATCTACAACCGTTACTAAAACCTTCGCAGCAAAATCCACGAAATTCGAGTCGTCGAGCACCAGTTTTGGTGTTGCTGAGCCTGCACTTGAATCCTCTGTGGAAACCAAAGTTGAAACCAGTGCCGAAATGGACGAACTCGAAACGTCCTTCAATACAATGGACCCTGGTGATATCAAGAAGTTGATCTTTTCATCGTCACGCACTGGGCGTCTCAGTTTACCTCCCGAAAAGGATAGTACATCAGGTTACAAGCGCCGACCTGTATCAATGGACGTCTCTCGCACGTACGGGGCGCCGAAAACGTCTGGCCTTTCAACCGGTGCCAGATCACAATCTACCGAGGATCTTACAAGTGACAAGACTCGACTACCAAAACCTGTGACGGTGATAATAAAAGATGATGATTCAACAACTGCTGGCACAACGACGACAACATCCATGAAAACGGCAAGCAGTGTAACGCAACAGTCGTACTCTAGCAAACATGTATACTCTAGACAAGGAGATACGGGTCTTGGCTTCCAAGGTTTGAAAGGAATCGCAGCTGAAGAACATACCCTTGGCACAGTTTCCACCGAAAGAACGATAAGCTCCTCCACGACTATGTCCAGTAGTTCCTCTTCGAGAATAACGATGACATCACAAAGCAATGTCCGCAAGGTTCCAAGTTTATCCCGAACATTCCCCGAGCTTCTAGACGAAGAAATCCGCCAAGTGAAAGCCTCTTCCGAGAAAAGTGATTCGATTGAAGACAAACGGCGTTGGTCCATGGAAAAACGATCAGAATGGATGCTCTCGAGTCCAACATCAGATTCAGCACAACCTAGCGCGGAAGGTGGTCAGAAACGACTGACGTTACGAGAGCGCAAGCGACTTCTACTGGGACACCAAGATGAGAAGGATCCAACGGACAAAGCTTAATAAAACTTAAATAGAACTTTCGTTGAACAGATTATCGAACACGCATTATAGATATATACCTTACAAACATTTAGTTATTTTAGATTAGGTAAATTAGTTTTAGATTATATAGTTTTTGTTCGTGATTGACACAAATGAATAACATTTGCACGGTTTAAGACATTAAACAATGAGAGTCCATTTGAAGGATATTGGATTTAATTGCACGGTTGATATTTAACATCGTACTTTATTTAATTATATTTTTGAGATTCTATATTTCATAAATTTTGTGTGACGGACAGATACTTAAAGGCAGATTAACTGCCAATGGTAGTAGTTTATATATGCGAGTTTCGTGAATGCCTTAACTAGAGTATTAAATTTTTGATGATTATTTAACTTAACCATACAGGAAATGAATTCGCAAGCAAGCACTTGCCAATTTCGCAGCAACAGAATTTGCTAACAATTGAAAGTTTGTTTCTATTTTAACGCAAAAGCAACTTGTATATATTAGCTTTAAGTTGGTAATTTCATACACACAAATAATTATTTTACCAAACACTGAAAAAAATTTCTCCTGTTATCGCTTTCACGAAGTTTGTATAAATATAGATATAGTATAATATTGGATAGGTTAAATATATAATTAAATATTTTGTAAAAAATAGTTTAGGTAAGTTCTGCATATATAATAAGTGTTGATGACTAATACTCGTGCATCAAAACGGTTGATTTCGCAAACAAATTGTAATAATAGTTTTTCTCGAGTTTTATTTGCAGAATTAATTTAATTATTAAATCATGTTATAAAATCTTTTGTGTCGTCTTAAATTTGCACAAGTCGAGCCACAGTCTGTCCTCATCGGAGATAAGAAGGTTGTAAATTTCTCCTTGCAACGCTAAATGTGAAAATACTGCTTACCAATTTTCCGAATTCTTAATCGAAAAGACATCGCTAAACGTTTCAACTCTTAAGAAAATGGATACGACAATTAGATGAATTGAAATACTTCAACAGAACATGACCTGGAAAGGTTGCAGCTACAAAGTGAACACCCTCGAACGAACGTCCTGTCGTTGGACAAGGGATCAGTAGCCATCCGACCTCCTTGCGTACCTGCTGGTAACCTTCGTGGCCACCATTAACAATTCAGAAACACAAGGCAACCATTGCACCAGGCATTCGTGGCTTCAGGCAACGTGGTAAGCCCCTTGAGAAACTGCGCGCAACCTTCGACATGCACAATGCTCTAAGCAAAATTATCAAACTTTTTCAAAATTTTGCCGTTCGATCACACTATCATTTAAGTAAAACAACAGTTTTCTCTGGAGAAAACAACGTCTCCGGAAATGTTTCGAATCTTGAGTGCACGTGTTAAATTTTTCTAAATATATTCATAGCTGTGATATGTCAAACGTTGCATGCATCGATTGTGAGTTTCCATTCGGCGAAAATAAACGCCCACAATTTTTACTCTGTTTCTCTATCTTCGAGTTTCAAGCTCGAATGTGGTGTTCTGTTTCGCTGAATGGAAATCCACTAATTAATTTAAAACTCGTACATCTGTCGCAAATTTTAATTGTTCCTTCTCTCTGCAGGATGTGGATTCTGATTCGAGTGTCGAGAACCGTCCTCCTGAAAACGTACGTCTCAAGCCGTCGAAGACGCCGCGTAGGTCTCGCTCTAACCCGCAAATTCGTCCGTGGCACCTGGCTGAGCTTGCCGTCGACAGTCGTCCTGTAAAACACCCTCGGTACTCTCCTGACCAACGTCGTCGTTCACCGGGGAAAGAAATCGCGATTGATGGCGACTACAACTTCCGATCATTCGGTGTGGGCAACCCTTGTGCCGTGGCAACACCCTTGTCCCAACGATCTCAAGATTCGAGAAGCATCTCTTCGTACTTTGTTCCGTTGTCCGACCAACCGAGCTCGTATTGGATGCAAGGCAACGTTGGGATGATCAAGAGTAAATCATTGGACAAACTTGATGAGATAATGCGTAACGACCCTATCCTAGGCGAGGATTACCATGGGATCTCTCCGCCGTCGAAATCAACGCAAACCCAAACGGACACAGTGTACAGGTATTTAATACATCTTGGTCACAAGATTTATTTGTTTTGCTTTCTTGTGGGATTCCCATGATCTAAAACCGTGTCGTCTGACGCTGATCTTAAGCTTCCTCTGACCACGTCTAAATTATCTTATAGCGGTGCTATGCTCTGCAACTTTTTACCTAATGAGTTGAAGAATATTGATGATTTCTCATTCGGTTTGTTTAAAACAAAACTGAAGGAATTTTTTCATAACTTAAATTATACCGTGGACCATGTGAACAAATTCTCTTGCTACACTTGCAAGCACCTTGTAGAATGTCGTTGCCATACGAATTCGAATTTTATATAAATATGAAACTTCTTGATGAGGGTATTGAAGGCCATTAGGTAGAATACCGTTAAGGTAACAAAGTACATTTACAGACTCAAGCCGAAATGGCTTGTGAAACGTCTTGATGAGAACATTCATATTCTTCAACAATTTAAAATAAATGAATGATATTTGGTGGGAACTTAAAGATATATATAAATCAGCATGATTTTGTATCAGATAAACAAACTCCTTCACGGTCATGATTTCTTTTGTGTTTTCTTCATGAATTATTGATGAGTTTCACAAGTACTAGTTAAAACATGAGCAGCCAATCTTTATCTGACCCATCTTATGACCCATCTTATGACCCATGCTTATGAGTTCATTGGCGAAGTAATTTTAAAAATAAACATTGTCTTAGCCGAGAAAATCAAAACTGAAGTTTATGTTAATCAGGACAAGTCTTTATCCGATTTACAAACATTGATTAAACATTCGTTTCTTTTGAATTTTCTCCACAAATTATTAATGAGTTTCACAATATAAGTATATAACCTCACCCTCACCAAATGTCACGACCTGCACTATTACTATTAATATTATAGAAAGAAAAAACCTCGTCGAAAACGTAATGACCGCCCAAGAAGCCAAATCTTACCACCAACGTATCTTCAATTACCTTCCGTCACATGGCTACCAAACGAGCTAGGAAGCAACGAAAACCTACAAGGTGCCACATCGGCAAATGAATCTCCTGAAGTGCGCGTTGATTACGACTTGGGTCCGAATTACTCTCGCGCAACGCATCGTAGACGATCAAAAGAGGAACAAGCTCAAATTGTTCAACGGTGGATTAATGAAATGATCGAGCATAAGAAAGCTCAAGAACAGCACCGACAAAATATTGTCAGACAGTCGGCTGGCAGGGAACGGTCGGTGAAATTAAAGAAAAAGAGCCGGTCGGTACCCGAGCACACATTTCGTGGTAACCAGTCGAAATTTGAGCGACGACGTGCTTCGGATGATAGCGAGGAAACAAATGGGGAAATGGATGGGAAATTGAGACATTCTGGCAGCGATCCCAGTTTTAGATCTCCACTTGCAGATGATAGAAATTTGTCCGTAAGTACATCCTCTACAGGCACTGCATCGACGCAGACTGTCGGGACATCCACAGCCACGGACGAAAAAATATCTCCATTTTTGCAGTCTCGTATACGTAGTCTGGAACAGTCGTTTCAACAAAGTAATACACCTGGCCCCAGTATACAAAATAACAACAACCCCTTGGACTCGACCAAACAATCGGCAAGAAATCGTAGTGACTCTTCCCCTAGGCCAATGAGACACAGTAGGGCATCGAACCCAGATCTACCACTGATATCGCATCTCCTATCGGGAGGAGAGTTGGATAGTCAATGCTAGCAGCTAAATCGTGAAGTATCGTAATTATTATGTAAAGTAATCTGCTTATGAAGTAAGGATGAAATGATCCAGCATGAATTGTATTTAAAACTTCATTGAGTCTTTCAAAGAAAATGAAAGCTACGTAAATCCTAGATAATTAATACACGTATGATAACAGGTTTTGAGCAAAACTTTCAACACGCTTCTGGAAAGCAGATCACCTTGTATGTAGAGTGTAGAGCCTCGTATTCGCACTCGAATAAACGACTGTAAAGAAAGCTTGTAAACTATCATTGATCGTATCAATTTAATACTGTTTGGTTAGCTTGAAATAGTGGCTTTATTGTTGAGAAACTAAGAAAGTTCTACTGTAGTATATTGAGCTAATTTGCTGAGTATCACTTCTCGCGTCTTGAAATGCAGGCGTTTTATCCGAGACAAAAGTCTGTAGTTTCCCGCTGTAAAAAACAGGCCGTGGGCGACGTCTCAAACTCCCGTGGGATATTAATTATTCGTCTTTTTCTTAAATATTATGCATCTCATTGTATGAATAGCCGTCGTTTTCACTGACGTTGCCGTTTTACATCGTAAAATATCTAATATCTGATACATGAAAACGAGGTTCTTAGCCAAGGTGATGTACTCTCCAGAAGGGTGTTTGAGTGACCTGCTACCATTTCTCACACGAAATAGATTTTTCTCAGAAAATTCAGTTATACTTTCCATAGGTGCCAGTCTTTCAAAGATCAATTGAAACTAATTCTGAGTTTAAACCAATTTCTGTGTTTCTGTAAGAATTTCGATCCAAGGAAGATTTGTGGAAATAAAATTCAAAATTAAGTTCACACACACAATAAGTTCACAATATTAATTTAATAGGTCGAATCTTTGTTGCCTCGGAAGATTTGTGGTACACATTTGTTCACAAAAAAAGTAGCTGATTGTCAGCCAATTTCAAAATCCACACTATTGAGTACAAAGTACTGGTAAAGGATGTAAAACCATTAATGCACAAGACTATTTGTCCTATTATAATCTGAATTCTATGTAAACAATGTTTTAAACTACTACTGTATAATTTATACTACAAACCATTTCTGTTTGGTGTGGGTCTTTTCATTGTGCAAATTTCATAGTATGCAAAAGCATGCCAAGAGGGTCAGCATGGGGGGCACTTTCCCCTGGGGCCCCAGCTCAAAAAGGTCCCCAAAACAATGAAAGCCATTAAACAATTAGGCCAAAAAAAAAATATGTTGGTTTCCGGTTTCTTCTTATAAAAACTTAGGTAGGGTAGGTCGGTTTTAACTTTTTTTTTTAAACTTTTTTTTTTAATTTTCCGAACAAGCGGACGCCATTTTGTTTAGTCAGTGCTTCCACAATCAAAGATAAATTTCCCTAATATTGCCTCAAATTTCAATTTTCCGCAAACTTTTTCCTCTAAGTGGAAACACTTACAAGCATGATCCAATAAAAAGTTTAGGGTCGGGATTTCGACGTCCAAAAGCTAGGTAGGGTTGGGAAACCGGAAACCCACATATTTTTTTTTTGGCCTTATGACATCATGGGGACCCGCTGGGAAAGTTTGCCCCAGGCCCCATGCAACCTCTCGGCAGCCCTGAATGGTGTGGAGGCTTGAGGAATGTGCAAAACTTGTACAAAGACATACTATTTTTGAATAAATACCAAGGCAAACAAACTAACCGACTAACAAACTTTCACGGTGAATATAAAGTGATGGCAAACTTCTTTTGGGCACTATGCACAGCTGAGGAAACCACTGTGATGTCACTTGCAAGGGCTGAATACATAGCCCAAAAATACGTGTAGAACTTGGTTGACCTGCAGCAATTGTCAATTTTAATATAAATAAACTCACAAGCAGCGTGCAACAAATGTCAAAGTATTAAAGAGCTTGATTAATAATTTGGTGCAGCAGTACCAAGTTTTGCACACATTTCTGGGCTGCTATGGTACAATATATAAGGGGGGAGGGTGAATAGGGGTATAAAAATCTGCCGACCTGAACTAAATTGCAAGCTAAATCCACAATCCGAGCCCAAATATTCGATAAATCCGCTGTATGAATAAGATCCGCAAACCGTGTAAAATATTCGCCAGATCCCAAATCCGACAAATTTTTCTGTGAAATCCGAAAACCTATTCATTCCCCCCTTTCTACCTATAAGCAAGGCCTATTTAAGCATTTAAATTAAAACATGTGCAGAAGTCAAGGAGTGCTTTTATATCACATATAAAACCACAGATACTGTGGTTTTTGCATGAATTATTAATTAATGATTTATTAATGAGTTATTAAATTTATCTCCCACTCGAAAAACAAACAAACCTTTGAACATGCGGCACTGGGCAGGACGGCTTTAATTTTCCTTCATTAATTATTAGTGACATTTTTATAAATAGTCTGTGGAACATGGTCACAAAAGTGAGAAAACTTGTAGTAGTTCGCCCGAAAATGAATATTTTTCGACATAGTTCGCTCCATAAAATTTAGTACTTACCTAGCAGCGACGTGTTTCTTTTTTTAGCGTCAAAACCAGCAAAAAATCGACGAATTTCGTGTCAAAATCATAGAATCTGCATTGTACATTTCAAAGCACAACTGCACAAGTTTCGGCGGGAAAATATTTAACCAATCAGAGCCGAGATAAGTATACGGGATTTAGACCTAGTAACCAGAGGGTTTTAATTCGTATATCCTGCCTCCTCGGGAAGGAACGCGAGGCTCTGGGCACAGAATAAAAATCCACACAGAAGGGCCACTTAAGTCGGAAGCTTTGAAATTTCTGAGGCGCTGGCCGCCATCTTCCTAGCCAGTCGATTACATTTTCTGGCCAATAAACGCGCTGTATTGGCTGGAGGCCCGGCCTTCTGGCCAGTCAGCTGCATATTTTTGCATAAAAAAATGGCTACACGTTGCACGCTGAGCGGCCCTTCTGGTACTGATCTTTATTCTGTCAGTCTGGGATAATCCGTTGCCGGAAGCCAGAAATCCTGGCTAAAATTGAACTACGCATTCCATTTCAACGGCCAATCAGGTTCCTCCCTGAAACGGATTATCCCAGAGCCTCGCGTTCCTTCCCGAGGATCGCAGGCTCGGGGAACGAGATTGTCAGATGAGGTGATAAACGATAAAGCAACCTCGTTCCAAAGCCCTGGGAACGAGGTTGACGATAAAGTTACTCTTTAGGTCAGCTTAGCCATAGGCTCTCTCGCGCGCTTGCAATGCTTGGTTTATAGGGGTACGAAGGGGTAATTGTGGTGGGAGAGGGGTAGCTGTGGGGAAGGACGGCACGGGACCTTGTGCGGTGACGTCACAAGTAACTGACGTCATATCTAAGCTAGTTTTATCGATCGACGGTTTGTTTTTCGTTGCCCCTGCAGAACGACTAGGAACTAGGCTGTCTTTAGGTGTTACAGTGTAATATCGCACTAAAATTTGCTCTCCGGAATTACAGTCCTTTTAGAGTCTTTGGTATTTTAGGATTTCCAGGGAGGATTGCCCCCGTTGCCGAAACAGTGCGGGGGCGGCACGGGGGTAGGTTGCCCTTTTTCACCCAAACTGCGCTTCGAAATTTGTGCGTTATTCACATGAATTTATAACTATTTTTAAGCAATGTTTAATAACTAGCAATCTTTGCTTATTAATTTTAACCGGTTATAGTAAATTAATGCCAGCGGCCGCGGAATTATTTTTGTATAATTATGATCAAAATCAGACGATTTCAAGTCCTTCACGAGCCGAACGAAAATTTTTGAAAATATGAATTACAATACTTTTCCTTTAATCTAATATTTAAAAAAAACTCTATATGAACTACACGGTAGTCATAACTTTACTGTAATATACATTAATATTTATATTATTATATAAATATTTTGTTATGGTATATATATTTAACAATTATTCGCCGAAGGCGAGGTGATTATCGGTGAATAAAAACCGAGACGAAGTCGAGGTTTTTATTCACGATAATCACCGAGCCTGAGGTGAATAATTGTTTTAGTATAATTTTATAGGTGATTATTTAGAAAAAAAATTAAAAATAGACATTTCTTCGTCGTTTAATTGACTTAACGGCTTCGGCCGCCATTTTGAAAATCGCTTAGGTGATTATCGCGTAATAATCACCTCAACGGCAACCAATCAGCGTGGAGAATTTTCAATAATCTCCTATGTAATTATACTAAATATATATATATATATATATATATATATATATATATATATATATATATATATATATATATATATATATATATATATATATATATATATATATATATATATATATATATATATATAGAATTAGGTTTCTTTGTTTACAAAAACATTTGGCAGAGTGTTCAATGGATATCCAGAGCGTAATTAAATAAGTGCAACGACTCAACAAATTCCACTAGGCATCTTTATTACTATTAGTTTCGCACTACAAGATGTGGCACTCATCAGATAAATTAGCCTTCTCTCTATATATATATATATATATATATATATATATATATATATATATATATATATATATATATATATATATATGTATATATATATATATATATATATATTAAATTATAATTTTTACAAAATTATACAGTGTTCTCCGGATTGTAATTATTTGTTTTGAGCTTTCGACTCGGTACTTCGAGCCTTCATCAGAAAGATTGATCATTTGAATTTTCGCGCTGTTGTTGACGTTGTCGAAGTCTGTGGGAACGTCTGATTGGTTGATGGATTTCAGTATGTTGGTTGCCATTAGTTACTATCGAATGCGGGTGATTATTGTTATCATGAGACGGTGTAGGGAAGGAAGTTGAGGGTGGGTTAAAGGTTAATGAAGATGAATTAGGAGATTTGTGAGAGCGTTTCAGTTGCTCAAAACAAATAATTACAATCCGAAGAACACTGTATAATTTTGTAAAAATTATAATTTAATAAAATGCCTGGATTACAAATCTTCAAATCTATTAAATATATATATATATATATATATATATATATATATATATATATATATATATATATATATATATATATATATATATATATATATATATATATATATATAGTTATAATAAGAGTTGTTACTTTACCGGTACCTTGTAAATTATGGTCATGCTAATAAAGTATTTTAAAATAATAATAAAATCCCTATAACGTCGTAAATGGCCTTTACAGAGTCTTTACTACCGCAAAAGAGGCGATTTCTTTCTAGCCCCCCAAAAGGGCCAAAAGGGAATTTTTCACTTTTAAAAAAACGGGAAGGCACATGCCCCCATTGCCCCCACAGTCCGGCGACCCCTGATTAATGCTAAATTACGCAATATACGTCCATTTGCTTATTTCATTTTGCGCCCTTAACATGGTTTTTACGCCCCTAACAACAAATAAAATTGTTCAAAATTACTGTCGAAGTTTCCGACCCACAATAACCACAAGTAATTGAGTATCCAAACAATAACGTTTTAACAAATATTGCCGCCCAGAAAAATGATGGCTGCACACTCCCCCCCCCCCCCTATTGAAATGCCTGAACCAGTGGTCCCGCCGCTTCACATTGCTTCTGGCGCCCCTGAATGTACTTTTTAGCAATTCAATTTAATTTATTTACCACTTCTTTCAGTTTTTTACATTGAGCCATCGTTGGCTCTGGGTACAAGATTGGGTCTCTGGCCAAAAGTATATCAGATTTCACTGTACTTTTAGCCACGGCTGTCTGTGGCTAAAAAGTATATCAGATTTCAATATACTTTTAGCCACGAGGGTCTGTGGGTAGAAAGTATCTCAGATTTCACTATACTTTTTAGCCACGATCCGGTCTGTGGCTAAAAGTATATCAAATTTCACTGTACTTTTAGCCACGGATGGCTGTGGCTAAAAAGTATATCAGATTTCACTATACTTTTAGCAACGACGGTCTGTAGCTAAAAAGTATATCAGATTTGACTATACTTTTAGCCACGACGGTCTGTGGCTAAAAAGTATGTCAGATTTCAGTATACTTTTTAGCCACGACCTGGTCTGTGGCTAAAAGTATATCAGATTTCACTGTACTTTTAGCCACGACGGTCTGTGGCTAAAAAGTATATTGGATTTGACTATACTTTTAGCCACGACGGTCTGTGGCTAAAAAGTATGTCAGATTTCAGTATACTTTTTAGCCACGACGGTCTGTGGCTAAAAAGTATATCGGATTTGACTATACTTTTAGCCACGACGGTCTGTGGCTAAAAAGTATGTCAGATTTCAGTATACTTTTTAGCCACGACATGGTCTGTGGCTAAAAGTATATCAGATTTCACTGTACTTTTAGCCACGACGGTCTGTGGCTGAAAAGTATATTGGATTTGACTATACATTTAGCCACGACGGTCTGTGGCTAAAAAGTATGTCAGATTTCAGTATACGTTTTAGCCACGAGTCGGTCCATGGCTAAAAGTTTATCAGATTTCACTATACTTTTAGCCACGACGGTCTGTGGCTAAAAAGTATGTCAGATTTCAGTATACCTTTTAGCCACGAGCCGGTCTATGGCTAAAAGTATATCAGATTTCACTATACTTTTCAACCACGAGCCGGTCTGTGGCTAAAAAGTATATCAGATTTCAATATACTTTTAGCCACGAGGGTCTGTGGGTAAAAAGTATGTCAGATTTCAGTATACTTTTTAGCCACGACCTGGTCTGTGACTAAAAGTATATCAGATTTCACTGTACTTTTAGCCACGACGGTCTGTGGCTAAAAAGTATATCGGATTTGACTATACTTTTAGCCACGACGGTCTGTGGCTAAAAAGTATGTCAGATTTCAGTATACTTTTTAGCCACGTGCCGGTCTATGGCTAAAAGTATATCAGATTTCACTGTACTTTTAGCCACGGATGGCTGTGGCTAAAAAGTATATCAGATTTCGCTATACTTTTAGCAACGACTGTCTGTGGTTAAAAAGTATGTCAGATTTCAGTATACTTTTTAGCCACGACCTGGTCTGTGACTAAAAGTATATCAGATTTCACTGTACTTTTAGCCACGACGGTCTGTGGCTAAAAAGTATATCGGATTTGACTATACTTTTAGCCACGACGGTCTGTGGCTAAAAAGTATGTCAGATTTCAGTATACGTTTTAGCCACGAGCCGGTCTACGGCTAAAAGTATATCAGATTTCACTATACTTTTAGCCACGACGGTCTGTGGCTAAAAAGTATATCAGATTTCACTATACTTTTAGCCACGACGGTCTGTGGCTAAAAAGTATGTCAGATTTCAGTATGCTTTTTAGCCACGAGCCGGTCCATGGCTAAAAGTTTATCAGATTTCACTATACTTTTAGCCACGACGGTCTGTGGCTAAAAAGTATGTCAGATTTCAGTATACTTTTTAGCCACGACCCGGTCTGTGGCTAAAAAGTATGTCAGATTTCAGTATACTTTTTAGCCACGACGGTCAGTGGCTAAAAGTATGTCAGATTTCACTATACTTTTAGCCAGGACGGTCTATGGCTAAAAAGTATGTCAGATTTCAGTATACTTTTTAGCCACGACCCGGTCTGTGGCTAAAAAGTATGTCAGATTTCATTATACTTTTTAGCCACGAGCCGGTCTGTGGCTAAAAGTATATCAGATTTCACTGCACTTTTAGCCACGGCTGTCTGTGGCTAAAAAGTATATCAGATTTCACTATACTTTTAGCCACGACGGTGTGTGGCTAAAAAGTATATCAGATTTCAATATACTTTTAGCCACGACGGTCTGTGGGTAAAAGTATGTCAGATTTCACTATACTTTTTAGCCACGACCCGGTCTGTGGCTAAAAATATATCAGATTTCACTGTACTTTTAGCCACGGATGGCTGTGGCTAAAAAGTATATCAGATTTCACTACACTTTTAGCAACGACGGTCTGTGGCTAAAAAGTATATCGGATTTGACTATACTTTTAGCCACGACGGTCTGTGGCTAAAAAGTATGTCAGATTTCAGTATACTTTTTAGCCACGACCTGGTCTATGGCTAAAAGTATATCAGATTTGACTATACTTTTAGCCACAACGGTCGGTGGCTAAAAAGTATATTAGATTTCACTATACTTTTAGCCACGGATGTCTGTGGCTAAAAAGTATATCACATTTTACTATACTTTTTAGCCACGACGGTCTGTGGCTAAAAAGTATGTCAGATTTCAGTATACTTTTTAGCCACGACCCGGTCTGTGGCTAAAAGTATGTCAGATTTCACTGTACTTTTAGCCAGGACGGTCTGTGGCTAAAAAGTATATCGGATTTGACTAAACTTTTAACCACGACGGTCTGTGGCTAAAAAGCATGTCAGATTTCAGTATATGTTTTAGCTACGAGCCGGTCTATGGCTAAAAGTATATCAGATTTCAATATACTTTTAGCCACGAGGGTCTGTGGGTAAAAAGTATGTCAGATTTCAGTATACTTTTTAGCCACGACATGGTCTGTGGCTAAAAGTATATCAGATTTCACTGTACTTTTAGCCACACTAAAAAGTATATCTGATATCAGTATACTTTTTAGCCAGGAGCCGGTCTGTCAGGATTTCCAACCCCCACAATACCCCAATATCGTACTGCTTGTTTTCTGTTAGGAAATTTAGCAATGTTGCCGAGAAGAATTTAAAATTTCCAGCAATTGCAATCTTTGATTAAATTTGTTGGATAGAAAAATATTTCGTTCTTATTTTTGTGGTGTGATCTCATACCACTCCAGTTAATTCGTTGAGCTCATCGTCCCAATTTCCGTCGCGCCCGTTCGCGGGCTAGAGTACTTCCGTTACAAAACAAAAATGTTGAAAATGTGAAAATACGCAAAGTTCACTTGCTGTTTTTGAGACGAAACAGTGAAGGAGAATTGTTTTATTTGTGAAACGAGATGAAGAAGAGTCTGTTCGAGTATGGCAGATAGTCACGAACTACGTTCAAACTCGTTTTCGAGCAACAGTTCGCTTCCAAGCGGTGAAGTCGACCATGTCGAACTGTTGTCATCACAGCTCGGAGCGTTGCTTCACTCTTCAGAATTTACAGATGTCACTTTTATAGTCGAAGACAAAAAGTTTCAGGCACACAGAGTGTTTCTGGCGTCAAGATGCGAGTATTTTCGCGCTCTTTTGTTTGGTGGGATGCGAGAATCGAAACCAGAAGCCGAGATTGTTCTGAACGAGATTTCTGCCCAGTCGTTTGGAACTCTTTTGAAATACTTGTACACAGGGCGGATATTTCTACGAGACCTTAACGAGGAACATCTATTAGACCTCTTAGGGTTAGCTCATAAATACGGCTTCCTCGCGTTAGAAAGTGCGATTTCTGGCTACCTTAAGGGGAGCTTAGACCTGCACAACATTTGTCGTATATTTGATGTGGCCTGCCTGTACCAGCTTGATGAGGTTCTGGAGACCTGTTTAAATTTTGCAGATGTACATGCTGTTGAAATCTTGCAAGGCACGGCAGACTTTGCAAGCCTCTCGGACTTGGCTCTCGTAAGCATTATCAAGCGAGATTCGTTCTGCGCTCCCGAGGTCGACATATTCCGAGCGGTGCAATGTTGGATTGGGGAAAATCCTGAAGCCGACAGACAAATATTGTCTAACATACGGCTTCCTTTAATTGAACTCCCTGACTTGTTTCATACGGTTAGACCATCAGGGCTGTTCACAGCAGATGCAATCTTAGACGCCATTAAGATTCAGACTGAGAGTCGCGTAACAGAAATGAATTACCGTGGCCATTTAGGTAGGTATTAAATTATTATTGCCATTGGTCTTTTAATGTGAAAATGATCTTCCAAGATTTTGTCAAGGCTATGACAGAATCTTGGGGAGATTGAGATGAGATCTAGTGATTGACCTAAAAAACCGCAGACAATTGGGGTTGATAGAATTATCTATATTTCTGATTGCCTAAAACCAATTGTTGAGAAAATACGCACTTTAAAAATTATATGCAATTATATGCAAATTATACGAAATTTGGGATGCCTTTTTCACTGTTTAGTGCTTGAAATATTTGCTAAAATTGACTGGGAATACTTAGAGATTTCATCATAGAATGGCGTGGTCATATTCATTTGCTCTTTGTCTAAAATGTTTAGCTGTATTATTGCTAAACATGCCGTTTTTGAGAATTTGGTTTGCAACCAGGTTTCAACATGCAATCACGCCATCAGCCCATTGAAAACATTACGTCACGTCAGCTAGTTTCCTATCCATTTATTTTATTATCCATGGTTAAACTAACCATTAAGCTGCAGAGCTTCCCCTTTGACGAGTAAAATCGTCTGGCATTAGACAAGTAAAAAATAAGTAGGGTACACTGGGGCACATTGCAGCTCAATGGGTTAACTAGAGACATCGTCAGATTTTTGAATTAACCATTAAGCTGCAGAGCTTACCCATTGACAAGTAAAATTGTCTGGCATTAGACAAGTAAAAAAAAAAGTACAGGGGCACATTTCGGCTCAATGGGTTGATGTGTGAAGTGTGCTTTTTATTAATGGTATTAACGATTTTTGGTTGCAGTAACATGTTACATTGGAAATTATCATTAAAAAAATCAACATGAATGATATCACCTTTACTCAGTAGACTGATATTATGATGTCATTATAAAATTGGCATCAGGTAGATTGTTGAATGAACAATCTGTAATTTCCATTGTTCATTGTTGCACAATCGGTCAATCAGTACCATTGAACTAAAAGTAACTGCAATGCTACGTTGAAGCGGAAGTTTGAAGCTAAATTATACAAGGTCGTACACAGGCTTTAAAAAGCCCGTCTTAAAATAAAAGGCCTGTTTCCCTTTCGATTTGCATCTTGCCATGAAAACGTTCAAAACGACATCCTTCGATCGCCCCCTGCATTGTCTCGCGAGTAAGTCGCGCAGTAGAAACACATGGAAGTGCATGTCTGGGAGTCAAAACTGGCTTTGTGGGAGTCAAATTTTGGCTTCAAAATTTGCATGCGCAGTTTACTGAATGTGGCGTTTCAGTTATTTTTAGTTCAATGATCACTACTCCTGCACAAACTGTTGCGACTTAAACACCTGTTGCAGTAGAGCTCAATATAACTATTTCTAATGCACAGACATGGATGAAAATGTTGCCTTGCCACATCTTGGTGCAGAAGTGATCGAAGGTGAATTCCCTGATGCTCTACTTGATTCGGACGTCACAAGTTTTGACATGGACAAAGGCTTCACGCTGCACTATTTGGAAGAAGGTCGTGCAATCGTTGTCTGTCTTGGTCGACCGTCAATTATCAACACCATCAAAATGCTTCTGTGGGATCGTGACATGAGGTCGTATTCGTACTACATTGAAGTCTCGATGGATAACAAAGATTGGATCAGGATTATTGATTATTCCAAATACCTTTGCCATTCCTGGCAAACTTTGCATTTTGAACCAAGAGTTGTCAGGTAACTTACATTCAAGGAAAAAATCCCCTTGATGAGTAAAATCGTCAGCCAAATTATCGGCGTTAGACAGAGTAAAATAATAAAGTAGGGTACATTAATGCAATTTAGCCAATTGTGTTTCGTTGCGCCCTACTTTATTATTTTACTCTGTCTAACGCCAGATTATTTTACTCTGTCTAACGCCGATTTTACTTGTCAAGGGGAGAGCGCTTAATGGGTTGGTTATTGCCTTATTCTGTTGTATGCCACAGACTTATTATAGGCTTACTTTATATTCTAGGTATATTCGTTTGGTGGGAACACTCAATACAGTGAACAGAATCTTTCATGTCGTGCATTTTGAATGCATGTTTTCATCAAGACAGCACTCGATTGGCGACAATAATGTTCTAAGTATGCTCATTATAATTATATTTAACAAATATAAAACATCTTCCATCTTGAAATATATTATATCAACACGAGTGGAAATTGGGAAAACAAGAAATTGTGTGGAAACACAATGCCCTGAGGGCGGAGTATTTTCAAACAATTTCGAGTTTTCCCAATTTCCACGAGTGTTGATATAACTGTATATCAATACGGAAAAATGTTTTTGTTTTTTTATAATATAACACAAAGAAATATATAGAAAGAAATTTTCTGTGTTGACATTGAGTTATATCAACAC